GTGAAATAAGTCAATCAGAGAAAGACATGTATCATATGACCTCACTAATGTGAGGAATTCTTAATCTCAGGAAATAAACTGAGGGTTGCTGGAGTGGTGGGGGGATGGGAGGGATGGGGTGGCTGGGTGATAGACATAGGGGAGGGTATGTGCTATGACGAGTGCTGTGAATTGTGCAAGACTGTTGAATCACAGATCTGTACCTCTGAAACAATGCAATATATGTTAAGAAAAAAAAAAGAAGAAGATAGCAGGAAGGGAAGAATGAAGGGGGGGAAATCGGAGGGGGAGACGAACCATGAGAGACGATGGACTGAAAAACAAACTGAGGGTTCTAGAGGGGAGGGGGGTGGGGGGATGGGTTAGCCTGGTGATGGGTATTAAAGAGGGCATGTTCTGCGTGGAGCACTGGGTGTTATGCACAAACAATGAAACATGGAACACTACATCCAAAACTAATGATGTAATGTATGGTGATTAACATAACAATAAAAAATTAAAAAAAAATAAGTGGCAGCAAGACAATCAGCTTTTTATTGGAGAAATAATTAAATTAACTTCCCTTCCTCACAGTGTAAATAAATTCCAGCGAGATTAAAGAATCTTAACTTGAAAATCAAAACTATGAAGTATTAGAAGAAAAATAGGAAAATATTTCTATTTTTTCAGGCTGGTGAAAGGCCTTTCTAAATAAAACATAAAGTCTGGAAGCCATAAAAGAAACAATTAGCACATTTGCTTACATAAAAATTAAAGCTTTCTATATGTCAAAGCAAAAGGGAAGCACAGATTGGTAGTAAAATAATATTTTTTTAAAAGGGGAAGAGATTAATGTCCATAATGTTTAAAGAACCGTATGTATATTTGTTAATGCATAAGAAAAAATATAGGGAAAAACTAATAGGCCATTTATAAGGATAAAATATACAAAAGACCAGTAATCAAATGAAAAATGCTTACCCTCAATAAGAGAAATGCAGAATACAATAATAAATTCTACTTTTCACTGATCAGGTTTGCAAAAAATAAAAAGTCTGCTAATATCCAGTGTTTTGAGAGCATGAGTAAATGAGCACTCCACCATTTGCCAGGAAGATTCTAAAATGGTAGGGCTTTTTTGGATTTCTGGTATCTAACACAGTTTTAATTCCTTTTTTTTTTTTTTTTTTTTTTTAAATTTTTTATTTATTTATTTGAGAGGGAGAGAATGAGAGATAGAGAGCACGAGAGGGAAGAGGGTCAGAGGGAGAAGCAGACTCCCTGCTGAGCAGGGAGCCCGATGTGGGACTCGATCCCGGGACTCCAGGATCACGACCCGAGCCGAAGGCAGTCGCTTAACCAACTGAGCCACCCAGGCGCCCTCTAACACAGTTTTAATTGTACTTCCTCCCTAACTAGTAATTTCAATTCTGAGAACTCATGTATCCTATAGCAACTTGTATATGTGCCCAAAGATCTGTTTCTAAGCTTTGGTTTTATAGTTAAAAAAGAAACAATGTCTATTAATAAGAACAATGTTAAGTAAATTGTGATCATCTGTTCTGTGGAATGTTGCAGTTGTTAAAAGTACCAGTAGATTTATGGTACTAATGTAAAAAAAATCATGTAACTGGAAAAAAAATCATGCTAACTGGAAGCAAGCAACCCATAAAACATTTACTATGATCCAGGGCGCCTGACTGGCCCAGTCAGTGGAACGTGCGACTCTTGATCTCAGGGTTATAAGTTATAAGTTCAAGTCCCACATTGGGTGTAGAGATTACTTAAAAATAAAATCTTTAGGGGAAAAAAAAACCAGTATGATCCAATCTGTATGTTATTTCAAAAAATAACAGGAAATTATACATCAGGGGGCTGTGTGTGTGTGATTGGATGGAAATACACTAAAATAGATGTGGAAGAATCCTCAGCCCAATGGTAATAGTGGTAGTTTCTAGGGTGAGAGGCTTTGAGTTTTTACTGCATATACTTCTATATTGCATTTTTTTTTACTTCAATAATGTCTACTTTTGGTCTCTTTTTTAAATACATATTTTTTTTTTAAAGATTTTATTTCTTTATTTGATAGAGACACAGCGAGAGAGGGAACACAAGCAGGGGGAGTGGGAGAGGGAGAAGCAGGCTTCCCGCTGAGCAGGGAGCCCAATGCGGGGCTCAGTCCCAGGACCCTGGGATCATGACCTGAGCCGAAGGCAGATGCTTAACGACTGAGCCACCCAGGTGCCCCTTTAAATACATATTTTTTAAAGTGAAGTAGCCTGAGCTCAAATTCAGCATTAAGAATATGGAGTCATGGGACGCCTGGATGACTCAGTCGGTTGAGCGTCTGCCTTCAGCTCAGGTCATGATCCCAGGGTCCTGCATCAGGCTCCTTGCTCAGCGGGGAACCTGCTTCTCCCTCTGCCTGCCGCTCCCCTTGCTTGTGCTTTCTTGCTCTCTCTTTCCCTCTCACACACACATAAATAAATAAATGAAAAATCTTTAAAAAAAAAAAAATATGGAGTCATGGGGCTCCTGGGTGGCTCAGATGGTTAAGCAGATCTTAGGGTCCTGGTATGAAGCCCCATGTTGGGCTCCCTGCTCAGCAGGGAGTCTGCTTGCCCTTCTCCTCTTGCCCCTCCCCCCAACTCTCTCTCTCTCTCTCTCAAACGAATAAAATCTTTTTAAAAATACGGAGTTTGCCATTGTTTAAATCACAGCTCTAATATTTGTTAGTTTTGTAAACTTGAATAAACTTTAGCCTTTCTGAGCCTCAGTTTCCCTCTCTGTAAGGTGGAGGTAATAATAGTGCTTCATGAACCATGGTAAAGATTAAAAAGCAGTAATGCATGTATACTGGTTAGCAAATTGCCTGTTTGACAAGAGCAAGCTGCTAATGTTGCTGATGTGTTTGTTGTTATGTATCTAAGGCAAGAGTGATGATACTTCATGTCACATGCTTCTTTGGAAAAGGAGATGGTTTCGATGACGTCAGCATCTCCCTTAGCTGTCATTCTGGCGTCCTTGTTGAATCAGAGCACCCCCGTCCCGTAGTTTAAGAACATGGCGTTTTCATGCCAGGGAAGCACTTTGGCCTCCATAGTTATCCTTTCTTTTTGGTCATCTTGACCCAGTTCTCACAGTGTGAACTGAGATGTATAGTCCCATCAAGCCTGCTCTTGGGAATCTGCACAATTTCCAGCCCTCTTGAATGTGTGTGCCACCTGGTTGCGGTAGGTCACTATTTCCCTGATTGGTCCTTTCTGATGAGATAGCAGTGGGCCAACATTCAAACTGACATCTAGTAAAACCGTCACATAAGTCTGAACAGAACTGATACTTCACTGTCTTGTTCTTTTTCTGGGAAATAGTTCTTCCATCCACCAAGTCAAAAAGATTGGTTGTATGTTGCTTGCTGCAGTAGGGTGAGTGAAGAATTAACCTTGCCTCTTTCTTGTTACAGCTGTCCCCAATCTCTTCATGCTGGAAACAGTGGATTCTGTGAAGTTGGCAGACAAAGTGAACAGTTCGTGGCAGAAAAAAGGTTCTCCTGAAAGGTTAAAGGTTATGGTCCAGGTTAACACCAGTGGAGAGGAGAGTAAGTGACCCGACCTGAATTGTAGATTTTTCTTCCTTTAGGATGGTTGAAGGTCAGGAAGAATGGCAGGCCTAAGTATCTGATAGCTAAGGTTCTAGAAGGAAATGACAGGCCTTTAAGTAAGCTGTTTTCTGTAGGATCTAGATGGCACAATGACATCTAAGCCAGTTCATGTATAATTCTTTCATACATTGTGGTTTGGTAATTCTTAATTTTTTGGTGGCCCAGAATAGGACAAGTCAGGATGGGGACTGTAACTCTGATCTCCTGAAAATTCCTAGAAGTCCATCACTCCTGAAAGAGATGGCATAGTTACATTTGTAACGCTCAGGTGTTAAAAAAATTACTTAGTGTTACATTGGGAGAGAATAGAAGAAAGTCACCGGTTAATATCTTTAAGGGGCTTGGGTTGACAGGGTAACCTAGTGAACAGAGCAGGAGCTTTGAAATCAGACCTCGGGTTTGAGCCCCCGCACTTTCCAGCATTGTAACCTCGGGCAAGTTACCTGATCTCTCTGTACCTCAGCTTCCTTGGCAGACAGTGATAATCATAATGGTGCCTACATCAGAGGGTGTTGTGAGGATTGAAAGTGGTAATATGGGCAGAGCTGTTGGCAGGGAATCCTGTACATCTTACTTGTTAGCACTTGTTAAGAGTTAAGTGTTCACAGACCGACCAGCAGAACCCCAATATTCACCAAACCGTAACAGGAAGGAACACAGTGCAGGCTGTTTTCCAGATAGACCCTCAGGCCAGGTGTCCTGACTTTAAATCTCAGCTGCATAGTTTCTAGTTGTGTGACCTTGGACAAGATACTGAGCCTCCTTGTGCCTCAGTTTCCTCATTTTTAGAGTGGAGATAGAGTACTTACTGCATCGTTATTATATTAAGTGAAAAGCTCTTAGGTCTTGGCACATGTGCCTGACACATAAGTGCTCTGTAAATTGTAACAATTATTATTTCTACATGCACCTAGATTATGTAATACGTTATCAATATAGGTACATCTGAAATTAACTCCAGGTTGAGTCTGTGACATCATTCCTTGATAATTAGCTATAATTTGCTGTAACTAAAGATTAAAGTGAACATTCATAGCATCTCCATTTGATAAATGAGGGAAAGAGAATATCCATATTGCTTATAACTGCGTAACAAATAATCATTTGCAGCAGATTCCTCCTCCAGTTGTTAATTAGCAAGTTCCATTAAATTTTACAAATACATAGTGAACACTGTGATGCATACTTTATTTTAAAATGTTTACAGTCCTAATAAATTAATGAAACTGTAGACATACCAGAGCTAGGAAAAGAATTCTCCGGTGAGTCTGGCATTTTGACAATGTGAGTCTTCTTGGTGTCCCAAGAAAAGCAGTGTTTTTTTTCTCTTCCCTCTGCTCTAGCTGTTCTCAACTCAGATCCCTGAGATTCGGATGATTATTGCTCATTTCATGACCAGAAGGGAAGCAGCATAGACAAAGACCTCAAAAATAAAGTTTTCTTTAGGACTTGAGGATACATTCCTTTCAAGAAGTCCTCCAGCCCGAAAGTCACCTCCTTTGTTTATAAGGAAGGGATGAAAATGAAGGCTTTTCTCTGGCTACTTCTAACATGTTGGTACAAGTGTCTTCTGTTCCTTTTTGTGAAGGTAAACACGGCCTTCTGCCTTCAGAGACAGTAGCCGTGGTGGAACACATAAATGCCAAGTGCCCCAGCCTGGAATTCGTGGGGCTGATGACCATAGGAAGCTTTGGCTATGATCTTAGTCAAGGACCAAATCCGGACTTCCAGGTACTGGGGGCCAAGGATGGGGTGGGGGGGGAGCGGATTGCTTGCATTCTAAGGAAGCATCTTAGCGAAATGCTGTCACAGGATTGGCTGTCCTAATAAACTTCAGAGACATCCCAGATATTGCCTCGGGGGTTGTAGCCGTCTTCTGAACTCTTTTCATAAGGAGAGGAGAAAATAGGTTTCCAAAACCCCACAGACCTTTCTCAACCCACTTGAACCTGGGCTAAAACATGAGTTCTTTTCTTCCTTTTCCAATGGCTGATCAGTTTTTTTTGAAAGTAGGAGCATTTGCTAAAAAAAACTCTTTCACTAACTTCTGGAAATTTTGACAGGCCTTGAAACCACTAGGAATCAGTAATCTTTGGCAGAGATGTTCAGATTCAGCCACTTTCAGGCATCCTTAGAGAAGGCAGGAATAAAATAAATGTCACACTTGTCTTTCTGTCAGGTGTTACTGTCCCTCCGAGAGGAGCTGTGTAAGAAGCTGAACATCCCCACTGAGCAGGTTGAGCTGAGCATGGGCATGTCCATGGACTTCCAACATGCAGTGAGTGTCCTCCTGGGGGTCCTTATCCGCCTCAAGGGGAGGGTCCAAAAGGCTACAGCAGGAAGTGGTTTTTGCCAGAGAAATCTTTGAAAATGCCTCATCGTAGCAATAGGGCCCCAAATAGCAGTGGCTTTCAACTGTTCCGGCATCTCCCACCCCCTTCTTTTTTGAAATGAAATGTGTAGAAATTATAGCCTGACACATAACTTTTTTAAACTCAATATAATTCCCTAAGTGGATTCTAAAGAACTAAGAAGGGGTACCTGGTTGGCCCAGTCGGTAGAGCACGCAACTCTTGATCTCGGGGTCGTGAGGTCAAGCCCCATGGTGGGTATAGAGATCACTTAAAAATAAAAAAAATAAAACTGTGATTTTTTTAAGTTTATTTATCATATATGCTTTTCTGGAAATAACTTGATATCAAGTGCTAAAAATCAAAATATAAACTTCACTCTGTGCATCCAGTAGTTGCATTCTTGGAAAGTCACATAAATCAGAACAGTGCAAAAATACTTTGTGTTTATAAGTACAATGGAATTGGATCCTGTGCTCAAACAATCGGGAGGAGATTTTTTCCCCTGCCTAATCATGGAGCATTAGGAAGGGCCGTGGGCTGTGAGACCTCTCATTGTGCCACTGCGTCTCAGTCACACAGCGTGACCTCTCATATCCCCAGCCTCAGATAAGCGGCAGTCATCTTCCCTAATCATGGTGACAGCCAGGGACGGGCTTACTGATTTCTCAAACACACCCAAGGTTAACCACTGCGCCGTGGCCCTCTTCAGCTGTCTTATCGTTGTTGTTTGTAGAAGGCCCTCGAGAGCCACAGTGACAGGCATGGCTTCCGCAGCCGCTTCCTTATTTTAAACTTGGGCCCCGATACTTTCTCTTCTTTCCCACAGATTGAAGTGGGATCTACGAATGTCCGAGTAGGAAGCACCATTTTTGGAGAGCGAGATTACTCCAAGAAACCTGCCCTGGACAAGTCAGCAGCCGACCTGAAGGCACCGGTGGAAGTGGCACAGGGACACTGAGGCCAGGGCCTGTCCAGGAGGACGAACTCTGCACTCAGCTGGATTTCCGTCTTGACAGTCCCTGTGTTACAGCACGGCCGTGCCCTCCTTGTGACCTGCAGAGAGCGTGCTGATGATGACGTGTGTTGACTGAAACCATCTGTACTTAGGGTCCGACCCAAGAAGTTCACTTCAGGTAGTGGCTGTGGATTGGAGCTGAGAAATCCAGACATCTCCACAGAATGGATATAAGTCAGCAGCCAGGGATTGAGTTCAGTTTCCAGTCCTGCCCAGGAATACCAACCAGCCCATGAATGCCTTCCCCAGGTTAAAATGTGGCCACTGATGCCTATAATCACCAAAGTGAGAGGGATTCACATTTGTCATCCCCTTTCATAGAAAATTATCTTCTTACAAACCTCTCCTGAGTAATTGTCTTTGCTGCTCTGGAGTAAGATGATTGCTGCCCCCAGTTTCCACCCCACCCAGTAAATATTTATCTCTGCTCCGGAATGGCAGTACAGGTAACTTCAGGAACTGGCTCAAGGCAGTGCTCCAAACCCAAATCATGGCTCCTGGAAGTTTATGGCACTCGCCACCTTGCGGTATTGACCCTGGAAATGACAGAGGTAACGTAAATGGGTTTGGGCCTTTCTAACATCCTCCTCAAGAGACAGGGCTTTGAGCTTTTTCCCCTGGGCTCTCCAGTGAGGAGAACTGAATGCTGTGATTTCTTAATCACCATAATCCTCTTAATGGTAATTTCTTATCAAAGACCTGTGAATCTCATCGCTTCCCAGAAATTCCTTCAAAGCCAATTCAGGCTCACTCTTTCAATGAGGCCTGGCTTTGAGGTTCCCGCCCCTGCAGAGCATTTTCCAGGCACATCTATAGCCTCCCCTCCCCTGCTATCCTGATAAGCCAGAATTTTACAACTTCTTGGTTGTTAATAAAGTAGCAAGATCTTCAAAAACCAGAAAGCACAATTCTCAAATATTCGTAACAGGTGACTTTGGTCTGCATTGTTTATTTTCTGGATATTTTTTCCTAATTTTTTCAAGCCCCAGTCTTTAATTTCATGAAATAACTTTCAGAACCTATTGTTGCTGCTGAATGTAATTTTGTAAAACTTAAAACCATTATGATTCCGTATTCTTTCAGTCAGAGCTATAACATGATGTTTCAGAGTGTGTTAAATAAAAATGTGAGTTTGAATTAGACCATCTGTGCCGATTACAAAGCAATTAAACGATTTATTTTTTAAGACCTGGTGTAATGAGTGAGTCTAACAGGAGCGGGGCATCGGGGTAGCAGCTGTGCCCATCACTTGACACCGTGCCAGCCCGGCGTTAGAGGAGGACTTGCCCTGGGTCAGAGATGCAGCCAAAGCCACACCGTAGATGAGAGAGGAATTCTGAACTTCTAAAGGCAAGAAAATGAAATGCCGGCATTTCAGGAATTACAAAGGAAAGAGGTTACAACCTCTTGCCGCAAGAACCTCTATTTTAAGTGGCCTCTAGGTGGCGACATTGGCTAGCCTTGGGGCAAGCACTGGGGCTCCACCAACCGCAAATTTCCTGGGAGGGACCCCTCACCCTGATCTCACCCCTTCAGGGCACAGGAAAGGAGGCCAAAGAGAACATGATTTTTCCAAGTGATAGGGCTAACTCTTGCAAAGCCACTAGGTTCTTCCAGATATCTCATTTCTTTGCTAACCGGACTAGGGGTCCAAGGGTGGCTGTGGAACACTGGGAAAGGTGACCTGGTCTAAGCTTTTTCATAAAGAACTCTCTGGATTGTGCCTTGAGATTGAGAACGATGAAGGAGGCAAGCCAGGGGAGGCTGAGTCAAAACCAGATAAGGAAAGGAAAGGAAAGTAGGTCTGTCCAGTGTACCCACAGCAGGCCAGGACCTTTGGCAGAGAGAAAAGTGAGCAAAACGGTGACTTTGATTTGGGTACATGTGATAGGCAGCAGATCTGAATCCTCCCAGATTGTCATCAGATCGGTGACAGCATCCACAGCAAGTTTCCTGAGTTACAACAGCTGTTCTGGGACAGACCCACCATGCAGCCTAGCATTCTCTCCCTGCCCCCAGCCTGGGCCCTTGTCTGCCTCGTGCCAGCCTCAGAAGGTTCCAATGCTCAAAGGCTCCCGATAATCCAGCAAGGTTTTGTCCTTGCAAACTTCCTCAGAGATTCCAACCATTGCATCTCTTAATTACTCAAATTAACTCTCCCCCCTCCCTTTTTTAAACATTCCCAGCCCATAAAGCACTCTCCCCTATATTCTCTCATTTTGCCCTCACAAGAGCTGATGGGATAATTTCAGCGACATGGTGTCCCAGAGAAGATCCTGTTCTTTTCTGAGGTCCCAGTGGGTTGGTGGCAGAACGAGAAATAAGCTCAAGGCTCTTCATTCCCGGTCCAGAAGTTCACTACACCACATTGGTATCTACTGTTGTCCCGGGTTTATAACAATTGGTAAGTGGCATATTCTTAGATTTATAGGTTTAAAGTTAAGACAAGCGTATTACCATAAAAGAAGTGTATGTTTTTAGTCTATTGTAGTTGTTGAGAACTGACACATCTTTAATGCAGAACAAACTTTGAAACCGCAGGCCATGGGGATGAGCAGGGAGGAGAGAATTAAGCCCAGCCTGAGTGGAATTAGCCTCCCCCTTCTGTCATCCTCTCCCTAACACACACATTCCTCCCCCGGATTCAAACTATCCCATGGGCTGCGAGGCCCTGATCATGCAGAGCTGTGCCCTTTCCCCCCCAGAGCCAGACTGACAGATGATTCTGTTCCCCACGGCTACAGGGGAGAAATGAGGTCAAATGGGACGTTCGTAAAACCCAAGACACCCCTGTCTTTCTGAAAGGAAGCGGCCCTGTGCTTTCCCCCAAAGCTCTGGACAGGAAGGATTCGCCCACCAATTTGAAGGGCTGCGCTAAGGGGGGGTGTCGCCAGCGGTGCAATTGGAACCGATTTGCTCTGGGAACTGTGACCGTCTTTACCATGAAATCAGTTGAATGCTATTACATCAGCCTCATGACTAAGGGCAAAAGAATCCAAACTGTCCACCAAGAAGCTTTACTAATCTGCCCTCTCCCCTCAAGAAGCACATAGGTGAAGAAAACGGCTTCCAGGACGCCTGGGTGGCTCAGTCATTAAGCATCTGCCTTCGACTCAGGTCATGATCCCAAGGTCCTGGGATCAAGCCCCGCATCGGGCTCCCCGCTCAACGGGAAGCCTGCTTCTCCCTCTCCCACTCCCCCTGCTTGTGTTCCCTCTCTGGCTGTGTCTCTCTGTCAGATAAATAAATAAAATCTTAAAAAAAAAAAGAAAGAAAACGGCTTCCTTTTCCACAGAGTCTGCATCACCGGGCATCCGCCGTAGCTGTGTGGGGTTGGGTGGCTAGTCACAGGGTAGGGGGCTCCTAACCTTCAGCTCCTCTCCTAAAACCCCTTCAAGGGCCCAAGGGACCTCAGAGCTAACACTCTATTCCCCATGAAGTCCAGCACAGATGAGCTGAAATGGAATATGCTAGGGACAAAGGGGAGGGGGCTTTTGGCACCTTTCTTGTATTTAAAAGATGTTTTCTGAGCTCACAAAGGAGCAGAAGCCACCGCCTGGGGGCCTGCGTGTCTTCAATCTGGGGCTCGAGGGGCTCCCCACGCACTCCCTGCCACACCCGTGCCCCAGCCCAGCTCCCCGGCTCTCGGGCTCCAGAGCAAAGCCTGACCCAGCTGCCAATCTCCCAAATAAGATCAATGTGTGACCTTACTCAGCAGCTGTACCGAAGAAACTAGCATAAACTAGGCCCAACTTTGAAGCCAAGAAGGGAAGATGAGAAGTTGGGAGAGAGAGAGAAAGAGGGGGGATAACTTGGCTGGACTTGAAAGGTGTCTTGTCTGTCTGTTCCCCATTAGGCGCAACTCTCTTGCAATCTGCAGCCTCGACATAATTCTCTTGACCAGAAACTCTCCAGAGAGATAGTGTCAGAAGGAAAAACAAACAGAATAGCATCTCTGACAGCAAAGTCACTTAAAACCCTATTTGGGGGAGGGAAGGGAGAAAAGAGATGTCAGCATGTGGGGGAAGGCACTCCACGGTGGGCCACGTGTGGAGACGCACTTACCCTGGAACGGGACAAGGGCAGGACAGGGAGCCCAGGTGAGGGCAGCCCAGGAAGCGAAGCTCCCAAGTCCTCTGCCCTACAAGCCCCCCCACCACCACCCCGCAGCTGAGGGGCAATTTGTCTGGCTTTCTCGCCTGTGCACTCAACACCAAAACCCACAGTGCTGGGCTCTTTACTGACTCCCCCAAGAGGGATTCAGAAGGACTGTCTTAGGGAAAAAAAAAGGGGTCCCCTGTCTTCACTTTCCCACTGCTGACCGCCCCCCAGCAGCAGCAGAAGGCCGAGGACCTAGCTCTCCCCGTAAGCTGGCAGCCGGGTCCCCAGGCAGCAAAGACCCTTCTCCCCAAGACCCTTCGCCCTGCCTTTGAGCCAAGTCTCCTAGGGCTGGGGAAGGCAGCCCCCCACCCGTGTCTGCAGGAGCCCAGGGGGTAAGGACCAGGGAGTGGGGGATACAGGCCGGGAGAGAGCACAGTTCTGGGCTCAAGTTTCTGGGGCTGGCGTCCTGTTAGAGGAGAAAACTTTTTTTTAAGGGAAGAAAAACTAATCAGAAGAAAGAAGCAAGAGCTTTCCCCTGCCTTTCGGACTTGTTTATTACTAGGATATCTGATTGCAGCAGAGGAAGCAGGCACCGAAGCTAGGTTTTTATTGGCCATGAGCAAGAGGAATTCAGGGTTTGCCTCTGACTTGGCTTCCCCAGAACATGCAGCCCCGAAGGAAGAGTGCTCGCTGCTTTCAGGGAGTAGCTCGGTGCTCCGGGGGGGGGCCCCAGAACTCCCACTTTCTGCAGCTTCCCCTAGAATTCCCTTTGGAGGATGAGGGCGGAGCAAGGGGCCCCCGCGTGGAAAGTGGCCTCATAAACGTTTCGGAGAGCAAAATAGGTGACAAAAGTTAAGAAGTTCGGAGACTGGCTCCAGGGGGGCGCGAGTGAGGCTGTGCTCACCGCCCCCCCCTTTCCACGTGGGGACCCGGAGGAGGGCAGGCCTGGTTTGGATGAAAGCGCACTGTCTCTAGCTGACAGAGCCAGGCGGGCTGCAGTCGCAGGGCCCAGCCTGATGGTTTCAATGTG